AATCTGATTCGAACGAGTCTCTCTAGTTTGGGACTCGATCACTGCCTGGTTTCCTGACATTTAGGGCACTTAGAAAAGTGACTGTATTATCACAACCACATCTATAGTAGAAAATCCTTCCGGATGACGACGGGCAGTTCATGAAGCCGTGGCCTGGCTGTTTATGCGGTTCGTCGTCACCAAATTGCAACTCGTGAACACGTCCCGGAACTAGCTGTCTTGCTTGGAATTGATGTCTCTGACTGGACACTAGATTTTCGGCTCTCTTTGCTTGTTGGCAGAATTCGTTCATATCCTCCGTCCTCACAGCAAAGAGTAAATGGGCCAATAAAGGCTTCAAATTGTCCTTCATGATCTCCTCGAGGTGTCGTTCGGAATATGAATTTCTCTGCTGGTTCCTCGACCTCATGACGGCATTACAAAAGTTTTCGAAACTTTGCTGAGGTATCTGGCGACAATCCATGATCTGTTTTTGGAGCTGAAATTCAATTTCACTTCTTTTGCACTGTGTCAGGAAAGCCCCAACTTAATCGTCCCAGGAGTGTATTGGCATCAATTTTCGAAGGCTCCAATATCAGTCTAACGCCGGCCCTTCCAATAAATAGTGGAAGCTTCTTAATACGTCATTGAAGGAACAGTTGTAATCTTGACGCAAGACGTCGATCCGAAAAATGAAATGTTGAGCACTCACTGATTTGGTAGTTCCATCAAAGTTATTTTGTGGTCCAACAGATCTAGGTGGCGCGGCTGGTTGTGGAATGGATGCCGGAGGAATCGCTCGAGAAACTGCATTTGCAATCTCCTGTTGCATATCCGTTCGTTTTATCCTAACGTATAATTATTCTATTATATATATATATATATAAAGGAATTGTTGCACGTTCGTCTTGTCGTCCGGGTAAAAATCTATTTAAAGGTCTGAAAACCAAAAATAAGCGAATAGCAAATCACCTCAGTCTTTGTGGTGCTATTACTGCTGTTCCCTCGTTGGATGTAGTCGATGTTGGAGTGGCTTTTGAAGGTTTGTTGATTTGCTCTTTAAATTTTTTGTTTTAAGGTTTGCTTTGAATTTATCTTTAATTTTAAGTTTAAATTTTAAAATTTTATCTTTTAAAACAATAAAGATTTGATAATAAAAATGCGTTTCTTTCTTTATTTACGATGGGGCAACGGCCTTCAGCTTCTTTTATTTCGGGCAAAAATCAGAAGAACCGACTGAAGCCTCTGTTACCAATATAATGCCTTTCCAACAAATTCTTCTGCAATTTGGTTTGCTTCATATAATTTTTTCTACAGCTATTTTGTTTCTCTTCTTCTTCTTAACTGTCAAAATATAAAAATTCCTTTGATTCTACAGGGTACACACGACACTTACTCGAATTTTCCGGATTTAAAACTGGCTTACAGTTATTTTATATGTTTATTGCTTTATCATCTTACTCAATGTTCAATTACAAGTTATTTTATTATTCTATGTGGAATGGTTTTTACACAAATGTAAAAATCAATATTTCTTTAAAAAAACTTCTAATATCGACTAGGTTTAGATCCACTAACTAATTCCATATTAGACATACGCTATAGACAATTGGCTACAAATCATATTCAAAAAATTAATTAATGTTATTGATAACGACCACTCATTACCAAAATTTTAAAATATTTTGCTGGGATACTAGAACATTTGACATAATTTTAGGCTTAAAAACTTAAGAAACGTTTCTGCCAAAATTTCATCAAATTATCTTGAAAATTGCGACTAGTAGTTTGATTACAGGGTTTACATAGACGGACAGACATAGCTAAATCGATTTAAAAAATTATTATGAGCCGATTGATATACTTTAAGTTCGCCGTAGAGCCAATATTTCTATGCGTTACTAAAGTAGAACTCGTCTGTGTGAAGAGAATAACAAATTTTGTTTGACAACCCCTTCAGTTTCGCCTATATCCCTACTATATGATGTAAACAATAACAAACTTTGACAGCTACTTAAACCAGGTGAATTAAAGACAAGTTAGAGTGCTATATTCGGCTATGCCGAATCTTAAATACCTTCCAAGCTACTTTATATTAAAACCCATTTAACTATCTAATTTTTGGATAACTTGTCAAAATTTTTGTCGAACTTATTTTGATCAGGTCCAGAAAAATTTATATTAATAGGTCAGTTCGAAAACATTTTAATAGAATGATTTATCTATACACAGAATATACTCATGTCGAATTTTATCCGGATATAATCATTTAATAACGAATTAAGTGATATTAACTGATTTTCAGAAGTTAACCTTATATGGGAGCTAAGAAAACTTATGGACCGGTCCGGAAAAAATTCCGTATAATGATTTATATACATACATATATACAAAATACACATTTATGTAAAATTTTATACCTATAACTTTAATTCTCAATGTGCGTTTAAGTAATTTTCGGAAATGGTCCTTATATGGGAGTTGTGACCAATTATGTACCGATCAGGAAACAATTTCGTATAATGATTTATATGCCAAAGGAGAAAAAACTTGGTAGAATGATGCTCACAAAACATATTTAAGTCGTACTTTATCCCGATAGCTTTATTATTCAAAGAAGATTTAGTGATTTTTGAAAGCGGACCTTACATGGGAGCCTATCCGGAAAAAATTTCGTAGAGTGATTCATATAAATAAAAAACATATTTGTGTCGAATTTTATCAAGATAACTTTATGTGACAATTAAATATGTGCGTTTAAGTGATTTTTGGAAGTGGGACTTATATGGGAGCTATGACCAATAATGGACCGATCCGGGAAAAAAGTGGTAGAATGATTTATATGCACACAAAATATATTCAAGTCGAATTTTATCCTTATAGTTTTAGAATTTAATGAAATATATGCGTTTAAGTGATTTTCGGAAGTGGACTTTATATGGGAGCTATGACCAATTATCAGCCTATCCGGAAACATTTCGTAGAGTAATTCATATTTAGACTAAACATATTTGTGTCGAATTTTATCAAGATAGCTTTATTTGACAATTAAATATGAGCTTTTAAATGATTTTCGGAACTGGGCTTTATATGGGAGCTATGACCAATAATGGACCGATCCATAAAAAATTTGGTAGAATGATTTGTATGTACACAAAACATATTTAACTCGAATTTTATCACAATAGCTTTATTCATCAATGAAATATGTGAGCTATGACCAATTGTGGACCAACTGAGATCTACGTTGATAGTATGATTTCTGTTCATATTATATTTGCATGTACAACATTTTGTGTTGATACCGATATAGTTGAGGGAGTTATTAGTCTTTGTATGGGGCTATGGGAAATATTGAATCGATTGTAAAGATTTTGAACACAATTGATCACTGCCCTGAATAAATAACGTGTAATTAAATTCACCGAAATATCTTTGGTAGTTTCTGAGAAAACATCAAAAGAATTATGAAAAAAACGTAATTTTTTTTTTCGAGGTAATCTGAAATTTTGTCTCATAACTTTTTACGTTTTGAACCGATTTTGCTGATTTTCAATACCAAACTGCTTAGGATAATAATAAATATTTTGGGGGAATTTGGTTGGTTTCATTTGCTTAGTTTTAAGCGTGTTTTACACAGACAGACAGACGGACATGGGTAAATCGACTCAGAATTTCATAAGGACCCAGAATATATATATACTTTGTTGGGTCTTAGATGAATATTTCTTGGTGTTACACACGGAACGACAAACTTATATATACCCTCTATCACCACTGATGATGGTGGAGGGAATAAAAATAATCAGCTGATTGAATAACACTACCTTATGTGAATTCGCCTTGATACAAATTAAAACAATAACAAAATTTAATAGCATTGCGTACGAAGCGAACTTATAAAAAAACAAGTAAGAGTGCTATATTCGGCTGTGCCGAATCTTATATACCCTTCACCATAGTATATTTAAAAAATATAAATTTTATAAAATTTAAATTTATGTACCTATGTACATATTTAATTTTCCCGATTATATCATTATTATAGCAATAGCAAAACAAAATGAACAACAACAACGCTAAACGAAATAAACACTCAAAAAACAAAATACACAAGGCAGTAAAACCAACAGACATCCGAACATACGAAACGAAATACACAAAAAAACAAAAACAAAATACACAACGCAATGAAACCAACAGACATCAAACATACGAAACTGTACACCAACAAACAAAAACAATATACACAAGGCAATGAAACACATAGCCATCCAAACATACAAAACTGAATACACCAAGAAACAAAAACAATATACACAAGGCAATGAAACACACAGCCATCCAAACATACAAAACTGAATAGACCAAGAAACAAAAACAATATACACAAGGCAATGAAACACACAGCCATCCAAACATACGAAACGAAATACTCGAAAAAAAAAACAAAAACAAAATACACAACGCAATCAAACCAACAGACATCCAAACATACGAAACTGAATACACCAAGAAACAAAAACAATATACACATGCCAATGAAACACACAGCCATCCAAACATGTGAAACGAAATACTCAATGAATAAGCAGTGTTGTTGTTGTTGCTTATTAATCAAAACATGAAAAAATTGTCTATTTTTATGAAATTTTCAGAGGTTTTCTCGGATTTTTGCTTATATCTCCGTCATTTATGGACCGATTTTTAAATAGCGATCTTCTCGAAAGCATGTCTAACAGAATTATTGAAGATTCGGATCTCGCCGATATCTGGGGTCCTCTAAAAACTGATTTCAACAGACAGACAGACGGACATGGCTTAATCGACTCCGCTATCTATAAGGATCCAGAATATACATATATACTTTATAGGGTCGGAAAATTATATTATAGAAATTACAAACGGAATGACAAACTTATATATACCCTTCCCACGAAGGTGAAGGGTATAATTATCAGCTGATTGATAACACCACCTCATGTGAATTCCCCTTGCACAAAATATACAAATTCAAAAGAGCTAGTTGGCAATTAATATTATTCTAGATGATGAATCATTTAGTATCAAAATGTCGACTCTTACGGTTGATGATTCGTCCGTCACTCAATTAAGGCCACATAAATTAAAATGGACTATAAACGACTTTCATCTTAGAGGTTTTGGAGAAACAATATCAAGTGAGTTATTTTCTAAGGATGTTGCTGGTAATACTTTATGTTGGAAATTGAAATTGTTCAGCACCACGGATGGCTCGATACATTGCAGTATTTTTAAATGCTTTGACCCCCCTATTGATATATATGCAGAAGTGTCCATAATAGATTCTGAAGGGTGGCCAATTTCCGGAAATTGCGGCAAGTATATGTCTACTAGTAATTCTATTGACATACTTATATGTCATATGAGCAGGCTAAGAGCATCAAGACACTTCCCTGACAACACCTTAACTATATATTGTGAAATTTATCTTAAAAACAATTGTGTGATTATAAAACAATCAGATTTTTTTGAATCACGTTATGAGAAGTTGAATTCTGATTTTGCCAACCTTTTTCTAAATCCGAAGTTTGCCGATGTAACAATAAAAGTGAAGGATGGTCATGAATTTAAAGCTCATAAAGCTATATTATCTGCTCGTAGTGAAGTCTTCGCTGCATTGTTTGATCATAAAATGAAGGAAAATGACGAGAACTGTGTTGCCATAACCGATGTTGATAGTGCCGTATGTGAGGAAATGCTGCGTTTTATTTACTCTGGCAAAGTGAAAAATTTAAGTACAACGTTAGAACAACTTTTAATTGCAGCCGATAAGTACCAATTGCCAGATCTAAAATCCGAGTGTGAGCGACAACTGTATACTGAATTCAATCTAGATGCTCGTACTAATAATTGATATAGTGTACTAATATTTGTTACATCGTTATAGATTGTATCGTTTGAAAAACATACTATAAAATTTAAAATAAAATAATCGGTTGAATTTGGAAAAATGTCTAATTTATATCCGGAATTATTAAATGAACTATATTTGGCGGCTACTACAGGCCCATAGGTTTGAAATTATTACATAATAAATACTTATATATGTATCCAAGTGCGATAAATTGTACAAATGTTCAATTCACCTACTAAAGTGTAGTAACAGTAATTGTGAACAGATCTTTGCAGCAAGTAAGTAAGTAAGTATCAAGGCGAATTCATATAAGGTGGTGTTATTCAATCAGCTGATAATTTTTTCTAAATTCGCCTGGTTTACGTAGCTGTCAAAGTTTGTTATTGTTTGCATTTTTATATTTAAAAATGTCCGTTAAACGGAGAAAAACTTCGTTAATATTTTGAATTATTTATGTAAAAAATCTGAAAATACCAAGCCTCTCGTAAACAAATATTTGTGAGGAAAATATATTCTGAATTGAATAATGTTTGTTTCAAAAGAAAAATTCTATTCCGGCAGATTAATTTGCAAAATTGAAGTGGGTGCCTGAAGTTAAGTAAAACTTAATTTTTTGTGAAAAATAAACATAAAAAAGTATATCGAGGGACTATATTCAATAGTCGCTATCTGTCATTTTCATGAAAATGAGATTTTGATGGCAAAATATTCAGCAAACTATACCGCATCAGTGATAAAAATTTCAAAGAAAAAAAAATATTTTTTGGCAATTTTATAGCTTTTTTTAAATTTCTCTATCTTAAAAGAAAAATTCTGAATGCAAAACTCTCTATCTTATCCAAAAATTGCTTCAAACTCTATCCCTTTGGATAATTTCTGTTGCAAAACAAGTCTTCTTAATAATTTGGACATGCTGAACACAAATCCGTCAAAATATTTAAAATCGGTCTAATAGTTTTTGAGATATCGCTCAATATGATACTAATTAAATCAATTTTATTGTCGTGTTTAACCATATAACATTGATTTTGGACCAAAACATTATAATCTGTTGCTTTTTCAACAATTTGGTTTATTTTCCTCCATTAAATTGTATAAAATATAATATTTATTGATTTTAATTCAAATAAAAATTTTATATTTCCATGAAAAACTCTCTATCTGTTGGTTGAATGAATATTTTCGTAGAAAAATAAGCTCTATCTGATATAAATTTGTGAATAATTTTGCAAATAATGCAAAATTTAAAATTCTTTTTATATAAGGGTTTAGTATATGGTCGTAGAAATATATTGTAGAAGAAAAAATTTAAAAATCTTCACTAACTAGCGAAATAAACAGTTTTTTTTTGCTCTCCTGAAAACTTGTATTGTTTTAGATAGGGACTATTGAATATAGTCCCTCGATATACTCATGAAAATGTTATATTACGAATGAATGAATATTTGTTGCAAATGGATAATTCTACTCCGGCGGAGTAATTTTTAATATTTGGCCATAATGTAACAGCCGCCGGACGGGTAAATACCTCATATGGGTTTTGTTATATAAAGCGTTCCGGAACAGACTTTTTTTAGTTAATCTCTTTATCTACATAGTGTATATATAAAACAATATTGTTTAATTTGTTAAGATTTAATAGATTTCAAAATTAAGCCATAACGTAGTTATCTACATAATTTTAATATAAAATATAAAACAATATTGTGCAATATGTTAACATTTAATAGAAAAAAATATTTTTCTTAAATAACATATTTGTATACATACCAATTATGCCATTATTTAAATAAAATGATATTTGTTTACGAGATGCTTGGTATTTTCAGATTTTTACATTAATAATTCAAATTATTAACGAAGTTTTTCTCCGTTTAACGGACATTTTTAAATATAAAAATGTAAACAATAACAAAATTTGACAGCTACGTAAACCAGGCGAATTAAGAAAAAAATTATCAGCTGATTGAATAACACCACCTTATATGAATTCGCCTTGTAATATTTCTTATGGCGGGATCTATCATCAAGAAAAATAAACACAAACAAATAAAGTAACAATGTGTTGCTCTCATCGTACATTCATATGTATGCAGTGTTGCCATTTTAGCACTTTCAGTGCTAGATTTAGCATTTTGCACCTTGAAAATGCATTGAAGTTTTTAAAAATTATGCTAAATGCTTTTTAGCATAATTTGCTTGATAAAAAAAAAAAATCAAAAATATTTCTATGTTTTTTATAAAAAATTAAGTATAGTTTAACTGATAAAAATATTATTGAAAATCAGTGGTTGGATAAAAAAATAAAACAACATTATGACAAAAATCTGATACAATAGCTTTTTAAATTCAAGTATATAATTTTGAAAATTTTATAGGTGAAAATTAATTTAATGAATTGTCTATTTTTGTATTGTCATTACTCGTTTCACTTTTTTCTAATGCCGAACTTGAAAGGCTTTTTATATCAAAGGCTATAATTAAAATAAAATTCGAAATCGTATTTAAGATGAATTTTTATGTTCAATAATACAAATTCGAAAATAATTGAAATTCGAAAATGCATGCTGTTACACTTAAGGCCTTATTAAAAATCTTTTACAAAATAAAATGTTGTTTATGAATATATAAAAAATTATATTACAAATAAAATACGATCATTTGAAAAATATCAAAATGAGGATTACGATGAAGATATAGTACCAGAAATATTGGTACATGCACTACATCATCAGTATTTTAGATTAAAAAATTTTAGTACTTTTTTTCTTCCGTAGAACATTTTAGCACTTAGTTTTTCAAGTTTTAGCATATTTTGAAATTCATTTTCTGGCAACACTGTATGTATGTTCTTTGATCGTTTTTGTTGTTTGACCACGTTTTATTTCTTTTTGTGAAATCACTTATTCTCTTGTCAGCTTTCAACAGAATAAGACAACATCGTCAATAAAAATTCAAATATGGACCAAGACTGATAACATTTTGTGAATACACATATTTATATGTACATAATATTTTATAGTGCTGAATTTCATCGCGATATTTGTGTTTATAAGTTAATTTTGGACATTCAAGTAATTGTTCCGATACATTTAAGCAATTTATGAATGAAAAACTAATTTTTTCTAGCTGAAACAGCCAGCCAATAAGACGGACGGACGGACATAGCTTAATCGACTCTGAAAACGATTCTAAGCCGATTGGTATACTTTAAGGTAGTTATAAGACGAATATTTTTGTATGTTACAAACGTCAGCACAAACCCAATATACCCCACTAAAGTGGTGTAGGGTATAACTATAGATAACTTTCAATATTTTATTAGACATTTTTATACCCTCCACCACCATCAGTGCTGATAGAGGGTATATATAAGTTTGTCATTCCGTGTGTAACACCAAGAAATATTCATCTGAGACCCAACAAAGTATATATATTCTGGGTCCTTATGAAATTCTGAGTCGATTTAGCTATGTCCGTCTGTCCGTCCGTCCATCTGTCTGTCTGTCTGTGTAAAACACGCTCACGTTAAAACGAAGCAATGTAATTTAACCGAATTCTCCCAACCTATTCACTATTATCCGGTACAGTTTGGTATTGAAAATGAGCAAAATAGGTTGACATCGGGAAAGTTAGGAATCAAAATTTAAAACAACTCCGAAAAAAATAAGCATTTTTTACACATTCTGATGGAATTTTCTCGAAAACTATGCAAGATAATTTCATGAAAGTCATCATACATTCGTTTTTACACAAGATCTTGATTCCTGCTGAAAATTGACAGAATCGGTCCATAATTTCATATACCTCCAATACAAAAGTACATATTCACGGAAAATGAGTTTTTTGTTAATAACTTCTGTCAGAATGTTGATATCTTCACAAAATTTTACAAGTTAAAATCTTATGTCAATAGAATTCATTAAGAGAAAAAATTTTCTGGATCGTTCCATAATTGGACATAGCTCCTATACAAGGTCCCCTCCCGAAAATCACTTAAACGCACATAACTCACTACTAAATTAAAATATCCATATAATATTTGGAACAAGTATTGCTCATATACACAGAAATATTACTATGAAATTTTTTTCCGATCGGTCCATAATTGGTCATAGCTCCCATACAAGGACCCTTCCCGAAAATCACTTAAACGCGCATAACTCATTACTAAATTAAGATATCCATATAAAATTTAGAATAAGTATTGCTCATATGCACAGAAATATTACTATGAAAGTTTTTTCCGATCGGTCCATAATCAGTCATAGCTCCCATACAAGGTCCCCTCCCGAAAATCACTTAAACGCGCATAACTCATTACTAAATTAAGATATCCATATAAAATTTGGAATAAGTATTGCCCATATGCACAGAATTATTACTGTGAAATTTTTTTCCGATCGGTCCATAGTTGTTCATAGCTCCCATACAAGGTCCCCTCCCGAAAATCACTTAAACGCACATAACTCATTACTAAATTAAGATATCCGTATAAAGTTTGGTACAAGTATTGCTCATATGCACAGAAATATTACTGTGAAATTTTTTTCCGATCGGTCCATAATTGGTCATAGCTTCTATACAAAGTCCTCTTCTGAAAATCACTTCAACGCACATAACTCATTACTAAATTAAGATATCCATATAAAATTTGGTACAAGTATTGCTCACATATACAGAAATATTATTATGGAAGATTTTTTCGGATCGGTCCATAACTGGTCATAGCTCCCATACAAGGTTTCCTCACGAAAATCACTTAAACGCACATAACTCATTACAAAATATTGATATCCATACATTTAGCACAAATATTGCTCTTATATACATAAATTACACTATAAAAATTTTTTACGATCGGTCCATATTTGGTCATAGCACTCATACTAGGTCTCCTCCAGAAAATCACTTAAATGCACAATATTCATTGCCAAATAATGATATAGATACAGAATTTTGAAATTTTGTCTTTATATACATAATTGGTCATACAAGGTCCTTTTACGAAAATCTCTTAAACGCACGTTACTCATTACCAAATAAAGCTATTGATACAAAATTTGGCACAAATATTAGTTTGGTATACAAAAATTC